GTCGTAGATTAATAAACTATCAAAAAGGGTTTATTGAGACCAATAAACCTTTTAAAAAACGCTTTTCCGTTTTTTATATCCAAAAAACTAAAAAGCGTTCGTGACAGATGCAAAATAAAAAACGGGCAGTTTTTTATCAAAAATTAAAAGCGGGCAGTTTTTTATCAAAAATAAAAAACCCTTTTCAGTTTCTTGTCGAGTCTGAAAAACTAGCTAAAAAACTCTAAAAACTGAAAAGGGTTTTTTATTTTTGATAAAAAACTGCCCGTTTTTTATTTTGTATCTGTCACGAACGCTTTTTAGTTTTTTGGGTGTAAAAAACGGAAAAGCGTTTTTTAAAAGGTTTATTGGTCTCAATAAACCCTTTTTGATAGTTTATTAATCTACGACTATTTTTTACAGTGCAGCAATGCTCGCTAACTGAAGTCTTTCTTGATGAATTATTATTTCGAGCATTTTTCGCCTTACCGAAAGCCTCGAGTACTGGATTTGACTGCACTATTTGATCCTCGAGATTTACATGCTTACAATAAATAAAATAAAATAAATATGATAAGTACTAAACATGCATATTACATACAAAACAATAACACAACCACTGTATGCCTATAGATGTCTTACGAATCTTGAAGAATTATTATTTCGAGTTGTTTTAGCATTACCAAATGCTTCAAGTACAGGATTTGACTGTACAATCTGATCTTCTAAATTCGCTTGCTGCTAGGGATGGAAGAGAAGGAAACATTGAGATTTACATGCATGTTGTAATTTGTGTATATTTGTATGCAGATTCGTCAAGTCAATAGATTAGTGCACAATCATAATGCATTGTAGCGAAATTGTGGTAGGGATGCTAGTACACTTGATCTCTGGGTGCTCTACTTACGAATCGAGAAGAATTATTGTTTCTAACAGTTTTAGCATTGTCGTAAGGTTCGAATACAGGATTAGCCGAAATTATTTGATATTCTAAATAGTATGCACCCGTTCTAGAGCTGGTGTTTGGGTATCCGAGAAAACGTTTATTACTCTTTAATTAGGGGTCGCTCAGAGTTGCATCTCATTTTGTAGAGAAATGTTTGCTCTACAAAACTCACTAGTCTAAAAAAATGTAAGGTTAATTGTGTCAAAAGTACGGTTCATCTAAAACAGTGAAAGTGTTAGAATTGTATCCCCAACAGTTCCTATGTTTCTCAATACTCATATTTTCAACATAGTTAAGTTTAAAAGTTTTTGGACCAGTGAGTTTTGTAGAACAAACATTTCTCTACAAAATGCGACGTTTATTATTTGTTAATTAAGAATCGCTCAGAACGGTTGCAGAACGGTTTCTCAGATAACCAAACATCAGTTGTAGAATTGATGCATAGAGACCTACTTCTAAAGTTATTACTTTTCCTTCCTATACATAAACATGGTTACTTATATGTATCTGTTTCTTTTTAAAAGAACAATATGGTTTTTTTTTCTAAAAACGCAGAATTGAATTGTTTTATACATTACCTTGCCCTCTCCTTTTTTGACACTGGCTGCAGCTACATAAGCAAAATATTGGATGACCTTTTTCGTATTTTCCGTTTTTCCTGCGCCACTTTCTCCAGTAATTAACATAGATTGATTTTCTCTATCTAAATAAAATAAATAGGTAATACGCACCAAGGAGAGTATCTCTTCCTTAAATGTTAGTAAACAGTCGAACGTACATGAAGGATTAATTTATGCACAAAGTGATACAGAAAATGTGTCGGAATTACATTTAGTTCTAAATTTTTGAAATTTGTATTGCAAATCATAGTTGTTGATAAGCACAGAGTACAGTTTTGTGTTTTATGCAAATTGGTTTGGTTACAAAACAAGGTCGACTTAAACGCGCGTGACGGAATTACATTTTTTCAACTTCTGGGCTCTGTTTCTCCTCAAATACTGAACAAAAGATGACGAAATTTTTATCAGAGATGTGCGGTAGAATGGCTTGGTTTGTATCAAAAATTTCAAATGCGTCGGTTAAGTAGAGCGACTTTTATGAGCAAAATAGGTATCGTGACGGAATTACATTTTTTAGCCTTTTTTCTAGTGCTCTACAAACTTTGAAAAATGCTCTAAAACGAAACATATTCAGAAAAAAAGTCTAATGCAAAAGTAGAGCATGAAAAGAGCTTTCGAATCATCTCTTTACTTTCACTCAAAAATGCTTAAATGAAAAGAAACAAGCGAAATGGCTCCGTGACGGTATTACATCATTTTTTTGCTTTCTTTTGCGGTAGGTTTTATTGTTATATTTCTACCAGTATAAAAGACTTCTATAAACTTGATCTGCACGGAGCCTTATGCAATCGAGTGCCCTCTATCAAACTAAGCAAAAAACGGTGGAAGAAATGTTTTTGATTTTCGTAGAATTGCTCCAAAAAAAGTATCATTTCCAATTCGACAAAAAATCGGCAAAAACCAGCAAAAACTTGTTTAGTGTGCAAAATGCGTTTTTTAAGATTGTTTCGGCAAAGTCAGTAGCGCATTTTATAGAGAATTTAATTCTTTATCCACTGATATACTTTCTGAAACTTTTTAAAAAACTAAGTAGGTCAGAAAATTGAAATAAAAAAACTTCTAATAAATTTTAAATTTGAATTTTCGATTTAAAAATTTGAGTTTCGTGAGTTCTTTTTAAAGTTGATATTCGTAATCAGCGCAAAAAGCTGCGTCTAATGAGGTGCTTTTAAGGCTGGTTTGAGAGAAAAAATATCGTTCAACCCACCGCAGCTGACAGTTACGCGTTTTAGCCGAGGTACAAACTGCTTTAACTAACACGTAGTTAACTGAATTTTGAAAAGTCTGTGATAACTTTTTTATACAAGTTTATTTTCATTCAGATCTATCGCCTGTCATGCTTTTCACAGAAAAGAGCGTTAATAAGAACGAATTTATTTGAAACTACGTTTGGTTCCGATGTGGTTCAAATTTTGATTTTTATACTTAAGTCTTCTCATCTTGCAAAATTAGACAGTTTTTTTAGAATGACAGCTTTTTCCTGGTTTGTGAGATTATTTTTTCAGTTTCTAATCGAAACCTGATCTGGAAATAGGATTGTTAGAAAGCAAGAAAACTATCAATAGTTTAATATCAGTTTTTTTTTAAATTCTTGTTAAAAGTATTGTATGTGTCTTATCGCTCTCTTTCATAAAAATAATTATTCTTTAGAAAAAATATCTATATTATCATAGATTAACAACTTGATTGTTTTCTACATCGAATATTTGTTCATTATCTGACAATATTGTATTCAGAAGTTTATTAGACTCATGCTCCCATGTATGTACGACTAAAAGATTTTCCTCCATGAATATGAGAAAATTGAATTATTTAGATACGCAAGTATCCAAAAAACTTTACTTCACACCACATATTTGAACAATTAGTTACAATTATTTGTTTCAATGTTCTTCATTATATAATAATGTTTTTTCATAATTTCTTATGTTTTGAGAAATGCAGTATTAGCTCATCTTTTCTATGTTATCTTTATGTAATCAATTTATTTTTAGATCTAGAATATATGTGACGTATATGTCAGCCGAATTAAGTTTCACAATGATGTATAGTTGTTGACTGATACATACATATACAACCTTGTACTTTCTTATATGCGTACACATTTTTCATTTTTCTTTGATACTAATTATTAATAAATACAAAAAGAAGGTAAATCGCCTACTCAGAATAGGAAATAGACGCTACAAATGTTGTTGATGTTCTTGTCATTAGTTGTTGAGGTGATACAATCTATAACATGTTCTAGATATTAGAGCATAGAGGATTAAATCACGTGCCACAAATAATATGTGTCCTATGTGGAGGTGCATAAAATGTTAATCTGAGAGAGAAACCAAAAACCATAAATCATGATCTCTGTGATGTTTGTCTCATATTTTCTATTTATAAATCGAGGTAAACTAGTGATAGTATTAGAATTGCCTAAAGAATCTAACCTTATTTACACAGAGAGAAGCCTGTCATTATCATTATTTCTGTATATGAAATTTATCATTCATCTTACACCTAAAGTAAGTTAATTGTTGTACGCTTCAAGTGATGTTTACTTTTACTACATATAAATAATTAGTGATCTAATTTGTTCAAAATAAAAGTTATACTGATTAAAAATAAATAATCTGTTATTTAAAAAAATTGATTACTTACCTCTTAACATGTTTGAATAAGCATTATCAGCAATGGCAAACAAATGTGGTGGAACTTCGGTACGCTTTTTTCCACGATACATCATTACAACTTTCATCGTATAAATTGGTAAACGTTTATATGGATTGATGGCAACACAAAATAATCCCGAATAGGTCTAGAATCAAGAGAAAGTAACAATCATATAGAAAGGCAAGCTAATACATGAAAACTTACATAAATTAACCAATTTTTATAACGTTCACGTAAATTATGAAGTACACTCGCGTCATTTAAATATGTTAAATTGGCCATATCATCACACATTTCAAATTTTGGTGGATTCATTTGTTGAACATCATCTTTTTTTAATGTTAGACTCTGAAATAATTTTAAAAAAATGTACATTTTGAATATTCTTAATAGTTAATCATGCATACATCTCCTTTGCTTGTTTTAACGGTAACTTCTTCGCCTTGCGTTTCAACTATTTCAGCGGCAATAAACGATTCTTTTGGATCTGGTACCCAACATGCTTTTTTACCATCGAACGGTTGTGCTTGAAGTTTTATCCGTTCCTCAGTTGTCATTGTCAAAAATTTCATTGACTCTTTTAATTCTGGATCATTCGGATCAAGGATCCCTTCAATTGACATTTTAGTCTATTGTATTCAAATGACTTATATATAAGTGTTAATTTTCGGATACTACAATAGGAATGAAAAATAGTTTTACTTATGGAACTAGAGTTAGATATTTAGAAAAATCTTACCGTACAACCACGAGTTCAAAACCGTGCCAAAATGTTTGACGTGTATACTAACAAGAATTTATACAGTCGTTAGTAGAATTGTATATATAGAGAGAGAGAGAGAGAAAAAAAAGATTGACATAGAATAAAAAACAGAATTATTCTAGATAGTTTTTTGTTCATCTTTTTTTTGGTGCATATTTTGTCCCCCGCTTCCTGCCAAAAAAATTAGACGATATTTTTTTTTCTTATCATCATTTTGCTCTATTTTTGTACCTAAGAAGCGAGGAGTGATCGATAACTGTATACAACACATTTATAACAAATGTAGGCCCACAACTTCAATCGTCTACAAACATATCATTCTAAGTACGTTTTTTCCAAAATTGGTAAAAGAACCTTGCATAGTGAATATATTGACAAATCATGTAATTCTATTTCTGGAATTAACTGTCTCTCTTTCTTATTCTTTCGTTTGTACTATCATCATTATTATATTACATTATAAAAATATACGCCTGTATGTATAATATTTATCCTTTCGTTTTCTTCTTCGGACTATTTAGTATTTATTATAGAGATTGTCTGGGAAACAGCAAAAAACTAGCTGATGATCGATGTCAATTTGTATGAAATCACTATATTTATTATTAGATAGTAAGATTACAACGTCTATGTATGTGTATAGATAACTCATCAAAATGATATAACCAATTAAATTTCAACTACCAGTAAAGAATTTTGTGCAAGTTAACGAGTAGAACAGTCACTAAAAGTTAAAAAATGCAAATATCTGCTTTTTGAGCTAATAAAAAACCACTAGTCGTATAATTAAGAGTTAGACTATCAAGAACTAATCATTTCTAACTATGCATACTCGTATAGGAATGTCTGTCTATAGCTATGTGACAATAAAAAATATAAATTATGAAACTAATTTAACATACTCCTACTATCTTCAGCGGCTACTTATTGTTGGGTCATAATTTTTCAGTATGAGTAGATAGATCTTGATGAGCTATGAAAAAGTTTTGCTAAACTCTATGAACGATTGAGTCAAGATTTTTACTTACATAAAGTAGCATATCTAATGTGAACAATTCTTTTGTAGTTTTTAAAATATCATGTATTGAGCAAAAAGTATAAAATATGAAAATCTTGCTATTGTTTAGCTAAACTTTTCTCAACAAGGAATTTCTGAAAATCAAAGTTATACGAGAGGAAAAATGTTAAGAAGCCTTAAAGCATAAAACTTTTTAAAAAATTTAACAGTTTTCAAGTCATTTAAACTCAACAACAACAGTCAGTCGTTTTAAACTCAAATTCAAAAAAAATTTCTTTAATTTACTTGGAACAAGTGCACTCAGACATGTATAGCATGCTTTATGATTGTCATTCACAATACGCTTCTAACGTCACTAGCATTGTATAGTTCTGTACTCTCCTATTATGCGTAATATTATTTATTATTCGTGTTGTGCAGTAGAAAAATTACATTCTCATGGGAGTAAATTTAAATTGACGATCAACTTTTTGGAGTAATGTCTTTTATATCCAAACTTCTTTAATTTTGAAAACGGCGAATGTTAGGAAAATACATTCAGCTAGACGTAGATACAAATGAAGTTTTTTATGAAACAAAATTGATAATAAGTACTCATCAACACGTCGTCGACATAGATAATACCTTAATACGTGCTATCGTCTGAAATTTGTATTAGTTATATCTATAAACACTCATAAACGTATAATTGAATAACGTAAAACACTGAAAGATTACCGAAACAAGTTATTTGACAACGCTACATAATTATTTATTGAGTTATAATAACAAACACTTAACCGTCTCCTGAACTGATATAAATGTAGATAAGATTATGAGGAATTTACCAAGTCACGTTTTATTAAGTAAGGAGAAGAGTTATCGAGCGAGATATTTAGAATTATGTGAAGATACGAAGATGATTCATACGTGATATGTAGTATAGACAACTTTTTCATTGAATGTCGAAAGTATATAACACAAACATTGTCAGATGATAAAAGATATGAAAGAGCCTGCTGCCATTATGGATAAACGGACATTCATTTATTCAACCCGTTGAAACTAAACTTAGTATGTAAATTTGGTTCTATTAAGGATCCGTTTCGATGGGATGCAAGTAAGCCATTTTTAAGGCACATTGAGATCGATAGAAAATATACTGAAATTTATACATCATGACCACATAGCTTAATGGTTATGCCGTTCATCACGCACTTCCAACTAGCAATGTTCGATTTCCAACCGCGGTTCTCTTATCTTCGGCTCTTCATCGGGAATCAGAAACGCGTTACCAGTTCTGGCAATGGAATCGAAACCACGGTTTCTTAGACGGTTCCTGTTTTTCGGAAGAGATCTTTCTTTTAACAAAACGAATTTCTAAGCTCGTAACCAGAACCGCGGTTTCTTTCTTTTCAGTTCTAAGTCGAGAACCGGAACCGCGGTTCTTTTCGTTTTGGTACTCGAACCGAGAACCAAGCATCTCTACTTCCAACGTACTGTATTCGAATCTTGATGCGAACAGGTCGTGTAGTAATCTTAAACAAATTACTGATGTCGCAGTATCTCGGCTCACCCGTTCGATAGCATACATAGTACATTATGACGTAAAACACAGCTCGTCTGGCTAGTTCGGCAATCTATATTTATATATTCATCCTGCTGTATGATGTGAGAATAGTTATACTAATTTGTTACGTAGATTGTATAATCAAGTTTACACTTGTAAAGTTGTGTAAAAACAAGATGTGTGTATTCTAATCTAGACTTCATGTATGAATTCCAACAAAATAGAGAAATGTGCCATAACGAACCTAGCTATAGGCACATTTAATACAAACTTGGTAAAAAAAAATAAACTATCAAGGTTTTCTTATCACAGGCTGTTATAGCGTATCGAATAAAGCAAGAAACAACAGCTTTTTAACGATTCCCACTTAAAGAACCCTACAAATTCATGACTCTTATTTCAGAAAGACTGTGTCTTTTCTTTCTATCCCATCTACAAGTAGTTGAAAATATTCTAGAGTACTATGATTAGAGATTGAACAGTGCGATCTAGGTATGGCTGACGTGATGTTATATCACGACATCCACCTACGCATCAACAAAATCAACAATACAATCTGTGCGGTGTCCTCTCAGTTCGTCCCAAATTGGCTTTGTAAGATCAAACAACATCAAAGGGGCGAGCAGGTATGAGAGTGAGCAATTTGGGACGAACTGAGAGTAAACCATCTGTGCAGCTAAAGACTCGAACTAACCATAATTATTCACTGGACCATCTCGCTGATAAGTACAAACTTTCACATTTTTGTTTGTTTCGCGATTATTGACTAGAAACAAAACATATCCCATAATGATCATACACAGCATGCCAGATCGATAGATAGACTTACCTGGTACAAGCCAGAGCTGGGAAAGTCAGGGGCGGCGGAATGGTTTGAAAGCTGTGGGGGCGGATTTTTTTTCCTGTAAAATCAACGAAAACTATCAGAGTATTTTTACATTATCTCACAACCTAGTGCCTAATGCCTCTACAGCTGTGGGGGCGACGCCCCTATTGCCTCTACGGTTCCGCCGCTTCTGGGGAAAGTCAAGTCAAAAATGACTTTGACTTGACGTCGGAAATTTTTGATGACTCATGACTTGACTTGACTTGACTTGTAACTTTGCATAAAAAATCAAGTCAAGTCATGAATATTTTTAAACAGCTGATGCAATCTAATTTTAAATGATAATTCATAATGATTTGGGAACGTTGATATTATAATATGTTAGAATTTACCCACAGTAACAAGACGCGCATTTTGCAATTGCATAGCAAGTCTGTGTTCTAATACCAAGGAATGGAGGCTTTTTTTGCTCTCTCTTCTATGCCGTTTTCTACGGGAAAAAGATTTCAAGTCATGACTTGTGACTTAACTTGACTTGGAAAACCCCGAGACTTGACTTGACTGGTGAAAATTTTTTATTACTCATGACTTGGAAACCTGTGACTTGCCCAGCTCTGGTATAAGCATGAAATTTGCGCCAATACGATGACGTTGTGTATCCGTGTAACTAAACAAACGTCCTTGTAACATTTTATCTGGTGATGCTTCGATACCAGGTGGCATATTGGCTGGTGAAAAGGCTAATTGCTCAATTTGTGTGAAATAGTTCTCAGGATTTTCATTCAATGTCAGTTTACAAACTTTATGCAAACACAATAAATGAAGCACATAGTTTAAATCTACATTTTTTCTCCTTCTATTTGTCTATCACAATCTTGCCAGCTTCTGTTTTCCAAAAATAATTAATCACAGCACATTTTCTTCCTTTGTTCTTTTGAAGTTCCCTATTTTAAAAAATACCAATTTCATCTGAATGTTGATCTATCTATAGCTGACATTTTCATGTGGTTCAGTAACCAATTTGTACATCTTTCTCGTTTCGGGCCAAATTCAGATTTCAGCGTTTGGTCGAAAATGCACAGTGTCCTGTCAGGACTTAAACTAGTTGGAATCTGGGCTAAAATTTCAGAAAGTATCGCTCATTTTATTGAGTTTTCAGCTTCTTTCTTGCTAATTACAGCGTTCTTAAAATAAAACGTTCGACGTGTAAGAAATGTTTTAATGATTTTCTACAATCGAAAGAAAAAAGGCAAAGAACCGCCGTTATTAGATTAAAAACTTCAGATAATCGCAGTTATGCATGTTTTATTCCCTGTAAAACCAGTGTTCAAATTTTTCTAGCGTTCGATAGCGTCGATCGCTTCAGTTATTAACCTGATATTTTGTTGATGCATAGGTGGGTGTCCAAATTATTATGGAAATGAATTTCACAGTCCTGATGTAGTATATCACGTCAGGCACATCTGGAACATGCAATGTATTGCCGGACTAGTTTTATTAGTTGAACAATGAGATAAGAATAAACGAAAAACATATAACCGAGAACACTTTTAGGCTCATACTTTCGATAGAGACAAAGAAAAGAGAACAACTGATTTGTTTAACAATAAAAACATCTGACTAACTACTAAAAATGCTAGTATAATTATAGAAAAAGCCGCTGAAATAAATAATAGAAAGTCGACGAAAAATCATTCACAAGCTCATCTGTTCTTATAGAGTCAAAAATATTTTAAAAAATAAAATAGTACCCAACAAGAAGAGTAATACAAAACACAAAAAAAAATCATTAATCAATTGCACTGAGAGACGATCACAGAGCAAACAAACAAACACAAATCAAACTCATTCTAGTCAACTCAACTACTTCAAACTCTTCTTTCTCGTCATAATTTTTCTTTTTTGTTGTTGCTGTTACAGACACACAGTTTTTCTAGTATTTTGATCGAACAGATTGGGCTGGTGATGATGACGTCTACTAAAAACAAACATATATGTAAAACAGTTGTGATCAATTGCATAAGTGTTTGAGATATTTCGAGAAAGCAAATTCATATACTGTTATATACTGAAAATATCCATGGTTTCGCAGTCTTCTCTTAGCTGATGTTCAGACTTAACAACATCGTCATAATAACCAAAAATGTACATCACGGTACTTTTGAAGAAAATAGAGCACCCTCCTATTACAACCTTTGCTACGCTAGAATCACTGTTCTCTCGAATAAGAGTCTTATTTGTTCAAAAGTAAGAACATTTTTATTTTAAGAAAACTGATGCTTCTAAATGACCATACTTTAATTATCACCATTTCTAAGTTAGGAGTATTGCGTAAGGTGACTAAGTCACCATCTCTGATCTCATATCAAAAGTTTTCGCCAATTATAACGAAATACAACATTACTAATCTACTTTTAGTAATGTATATCTCGTGCAAATAATAGCCATGTGCAAAAAAACACATATAATATTCAGTGTAACATGTACTTCCTTATAGTCAGTCACTGGAAATAAGAAGCTTCGTTACTCCAAGGAAGCGTTCAGCTATATTACAAAATTACGAGAACTGACTACTTCCTTAGCCGCACCTTTTTTGGTGGATCAATCTTTAATTTTTGTGCCAGTGTTCTTCCGAAATCATCATCAACATTGGCTAAAACAGCTACGGCACGTTTAACAACTTCTTTATCTGTACATTGTTCGAGATGCTCCACCATATTATTGATGATATTCTTACGACCTTGGTCATCTAATACTTGCTGAAAAATATCAAAGTAAATAATGACAATCGGTAGACAATGGCAGAAGTAGGATCATACCGTATAAAACACGCGTGGTTGAGTATAATTATCATCATCTTCTGACTGGTATCGATCAGTCATACCAACTTCATACATTGCATGTTCCAGATGTGCCTGACGTGATGTTACATCAGGACCATGAAATTCATTTCGATAATAATTTGGACATCCACCTACGCATCAACAAAATCAACAATACAATCTGTGCAGCTAAAGACTCGAACTAACCATAATTATGTGATGTATTCATTGGACCATCTCGCTGATAAGTACAAACTTTCACATTTTTGTTTGTTTCGGGATTATTGACTAGAACAAGACATATCCCATAATGATCATGCACAGAATGCCAGATCGATGGATAGATTTACCTGGTATAAGCATGAAATTTGCGCCAATACGATGACGTTGTGTATCCGTGTAACTAAACAAACGTCCTTGTAACATTTTATCTGGTGATGCTTCGATACCAGGTGGCATATTGGCTGGTGAAAAGGCTAATTGCTCAATTTGTGTGAAATAGTTCTCAGGATTTTCATTCAATGTCAGTTTACCAACTTTACGCAATGGAAATTCTTTTTGAGAAAATATCTAAATACACCAATACAACATCAGAATGACAATTACTACGAATACTGACTAGCTTTTACCTTGGTTAAATCAAACGGATTATAAGGGAGATTTTTCGCTTGTGCATCTGTCACAGTCTAAAGAGACGACAGCTTGAGCACAACAAACACACGATTGCATGTTCGTGCACTTACTTGAATGTACAGTGTCCAACTTGGATAATCTTTGCGAGCAATTGAATCAAATAAATCCTGAAGTGCATAATCTGGCTGTTCACCGGCCAAAAATTTAGCTGTTTTTGGTTCTAGATTTTTAATTTTTTGATCACACTAAAGCACAGCGCGTGTATATATGCAGCAATGGTGAGTTGATATTATGACTACTTACTCTCCAATGAAACTTAACCCAAACAAAATCATTCTTATCATTCACCATTTTAAAGGTGTGACTACCGTAACCATGCATATGACGAAATCCATCTGGAATACCTCGATCTGAGTATAAGATTAAAAACTAAACAGAACACAAACTACTAAACAAATAGTAGATAGGTTGTGGACATACTTGATGTGTTGCTTGAGGATTATTACCAAAGAAATCCCAAACCATATTGGCATCTTTTAAGTGAGTTTTTGGATTACGTTTTTGTGAATGAATGAACATTTGAAACTGAAACAGAATGGAAAAAATAGGAACATGAAATTAGGCTTTGAAATGTTTTAATACTTACTAAAAACGGATCCCGAACAAAGAATATTGGTGTATTGTTACCAACGCTATAAAAATACTTAGGAATTAGATTTAGGAGAGGCTAGATGCAAAAATCATTTTACATACCAATCCCAAATGCCTTCATCTGTATACATTTTGATGGCAAAACCACGGGGATCACGATTTGAATCAGCTGAACCACTTTCACCAGCTTATAAAACGAACATCAAAGTTAGTAACACAAAAAATTATTACAACTATACAAAGTGCTTCTACAATCATAAAATTTAGCATTCAAATCATAGACGTTACAGAAGATATTGCTTTTCTAACCGATTTGGTAAATGATATTTTTTTCGTAGTCTCAAAAACTCCGAAGAACAATCAATGTCATTTATGCTTCGAACCACACACTCTTTTTCTAACGGAAACGCGCCAATATAAGGTAAAATACTAATTCTTTCGTTCTTTACATTTGATTCCAATATCTATTTCATGCCTAGCTTTGCCTCTAAATTCTTTGGTGGTACGGAACAGTGCAGTGAATTATGTTGTCAAGCTGTGCAAATTATATATCTGGATGTAAATGATCTATGGGAAACGTGATCTGTTATTAAAAATTGATGAGAAAACCAATCTTCTGCTCTCGTTTGGTCATCGTTATATACCAGAAAAGTTTTAAGGTCAAAAGATTCATTCATTAAACACGATAAGTGTCAATGAATCATAGATGGTATGTAATATTAAGAGGGATCATCTGCATTTTGACAAGCATAAGACAAGACTGATAAAACTCAACCGAACAATATATAAGTATATATCAAGTGTGTCGCAATACACGTCAACAATATCAGCCGTGTGTATTAAAACTGCCGTAATAGCCGTAATATTAAAACTGAGATGTAAATAATGCACTTACCAACAGTTGAGAATCTCATTGCCACTCGTGTTTGTGTTCCTTTTTTGAATACTTTAGCTTTACACACATCCGATATATCATCAGTTGCTTCAAATACACCAAATGCACCACCTCTAGAAACATAAAAGAATAGCAAATATTAGTCTACTAGTTACCGTTACACAACGTTGATTATATTACCCTTTTGCATGAACAACTCGTTCTGGAACTCTTTCTCGATCAAATCTTGCTATATCTTCTATATATGCAACATCTTGTAATAACACAGGTCCACGTGGTCCGACTGTTTGTACATTGGCTCGGTCACCCAACGGACGACCCCAGCCTGTTGTTAATTGTTCTGTTTTCTATTTTAAATGAAAACAAATTAATACGTTTAAGTATTTGATCGATTATTTTAGTATATAACTTACGTGTGACTTTTTAAATTCGGGTAATTGAAAATCGGCAGGTCCCGGTTCTTTTGTTGGTTGTGATGGAGCAGCCATATTATTCGAGTATTTTTATTAAGAAAATAAAAAGATTTGCTTTTAATATATCTAAAATAAATTAAGAATGATTGTATATGCTCGTATAGACTTATCTGCATACATCACACGAGAAGAATATTATCGTTATTTTTCTTTTAATTAAGGGTTAACTGGAGTTTTCCAGAAAACTCATAGAACACGTTAAAAAATTCTGGGCAAAAATGCATCGATTTTCTTTTTCGATCTTCTATCACTGGTATAAATTTCAATTCGGTCCGACATCGGCTTCCCCAGTTTTCAAGAGGATCAAAAAAAAGAGAGGGGCGGGGTACCCTTAAAAGAACAAAAGTTAATGCAAAGGACAATCGTAGTTGATGTTCTAGTGAGTGACTCAGCTAATAAGTAGAGCCGTGCACAGACACCTTTTTCTGCTCATATACATCGTTTGACCAATGAAAGCGTGCTCTGTTGGGCCCAAAACGCATTAAAATGCGAATTTACTTTTGTCCGTGTCTATGCACATCTTTCGATTTTTTTAATTTATCCATGGGCATGTCTAACTAATCCGTACCTCTATATCGCTAAATATTTGCGGATATGTACTTGACAGATTACTATCATCTCAACTCTACTGAAAAATTGAAATAAAAACTGAGTGGAAGAACTTTCAGATTTCAGATTGTAAAACTTTCATTCAATGAACAATTTTTCTTCAATATATGCACGAAATAAATACGTTTTCATATGTCATACAAAAATAAATGATAAAATATTCCTTGGCTTAACTTGGACCTCTGCGACTCGGACTTGAGAACCTATATCCTGGTCCTTGGGTCTAACTGAATTTTTAATTTGGCAGATATAGATAAACGAGGCATTAGCCATTAGTCAGACTAGTTGATTTCTTTGCTTACAGTTGATCGTCAGGCTGAATACAGTTGAACTTTTCAGGAGAAACCGAATGTGAATAACAGATCATAGCGCTAAATATAAAAAGGTTAGCAATTTGAACCACTCGCGGAACTTCCTAGGATGAAAGATATAAGGTCCAGGTTCGAGTAAGATACGTCACAGGTCGCAAAGTCTAGGTCTGAATTGTGCAGGTCCAAGTCCGAACACAGCTCGTCTTTGCGGGTTAGAGCGCATTCCATGAAAAATAGGTTTTGCTGGTTCTTGTTAAACTTTCCACCGTTAACTGCATAGGCCATAGGTCTAGGTCCAGAAGTCGTGTATAGAAACCTGCATGGACACTCCTTTTTTGTCTATATCCATGGAATTTTCGCGTTTTTTAGTCAAGATTTGCGTATGAAAATTTTATTCCGTTTTTTTTTATTCAGCAAAAAACACGTTTTTCTTTGTATTGTTCGGTGTAGTAAAAACATGTGCTGAGAGAAGCAAAAAGAAAAGAAAAAATACATAGAATATTCTGTTTCTTTCTTTCTTACGGCGAAATATCGTATCACTAGTGTCCAATCAGTGTCCCATCAATTCTTCCTTTGGAAAAAATTAAAAAAATTTTCAGCTTGTTCATCTGTGTCAATGGACAAATTTAAAAATACTGTCCATGACCGTGGACATGTCCATCTAATACAGTATAGGTAGCGCTAGTAAACGGTGCGATTAATATCTTTTGCGAAAATAGCAAGAAAATATAGCTCAAGACAATAAAAGTGACGTAGTATGAGTAATCGAGCATAGTGGATTTAGCAGAACTGGTTCTAGGTACCTGAGGTATTTCTACAAAACATTTACGGTTTCCAGCAGTTTTTGGGCTGCTCTCGGTGAGAAATGATCAGTGAACTATAATATGATATATGACGCCTGAGATCTCTAAGAGGTATCAAAAAAATGTTCGCGGTTATGGGATAAAGTGACACGAATGACGGCACTTCTTCTGTAACAGAAAACAATATAATAGATAGATTTTTTGGAAGTAAAATTAAAGATATATATTTGGTTGCTGCAGTCAATGTGAAAATGCAAGCGGTCTCGCTAAATCCTTGTTGCGAACATCGACCGACGTCTAGGGTACCTGAGGGATGACTAAGATCTCTTCAGAAAACTTCCAATCCTAATCCACTTTCCTGATAAACTTACCGGTGAATCCCCAAAAAAACGTGAAATCCCTGGTGTGTCCCTGAACTAACGTGAAATCCCTAGGGAGTTACCAGGGTTTTTGTAAAATCTGTTTCTCCGCCTAGGAAAGTTTATGCTATTTTATGCCAACAGGATAGACGTGTCATATATAGAAGAACATTTTCTGAAAGTTTCATCAAGATTGAGCATTGGGAAAATTTGGGAACTCGAAGTTACAAAGGACGCTTTTTTGGAAAACCATTTCTTTCAGAAAAAACCTTTATATTTCAGCACGAAAAGTGCTCCAAGCAATATTTTTTTTACCAATCGATAGCTTAGCCGCTCAGCTTTAAGAATATATTTGTTTAAAATCTCAGAAAAACTAAACTTAAATAACTGAGATAAAACTTCAACGATCATGCGTGAAACACATGTGTTTTTGTGACTCATTTTTTTCGACCGATACAAAGTCTCAGAAAAAAAAGTTTTGTACCAAAAGATTGGACATTTGTTATTGTATACGTACCGCTATTCAAAATTTGGAAAATCTCACTTTCGATTTTTCATCTAATGTTAACTTGATTGCCCACTGTACTATATGAAATGAAGTTGTAAGAAAAACACGCAACTACTTCTTATTTTGTATAACTGCTTTAGAAAACCTTTTTCCCGACATAACATCATAAGCGTTTTGTTAACATAGGTTCATCTTGCCTGTTATTTCATGTTTATTTAATTCAAATGTCTTTGTTCGCTCTTTTGCTTATTCTGTACCATTAATAATTTTTTTCTTACTTCTATAACTAACCTAAGTTGCTCACACTCATTTTTTCTGTAGATTACAAGGTAATTCTTTTTTTTCCAGAAAGGCAATTGAAGAAATATAAATACAAAGGAAGTTTTGTACCAAGTCTCATATTAGCTTTGCTTTAGGAGTGCAAAATAATTAATTTCGGAAGACATATGTAATGTTATAGATGTTATAGTGCAAATTAAAATTCAGTGAAATTTAAGATTAAAATTTTAATCTCTATTAGTGAAAAATGAAATACAGATGCCTGCACATGGGCTGAAGCATGTATTCTCCATAAACCAGGTTTTAAACTGCAAGATCCAGCATACAGGCTTCCAGAGCTGGATGAGAACATCCGAGGGTATTGCAAGCTGTGAAAGTGAGTGGCAAAACAATATCCCAAGTGATATGGTCTGATACATATGAATAAATAAATAAATAAATATTTGTCACCGATATTATTCTGGTGCGGAAAAAACCTAGAGTTCGTTATAAGTTGCTTTCACTCAAATTCATAATCGGAGTTTTAAATATTTGTCATGAATATTATTCGTGTGTCGAAAAAACCTAAAGTTCGTTATAAGTTCCTTTTATTCGCATATATTAACTACCATACAGATTTTTTTCTTTTCTTATGTCAAGAACGAGCTACACGAAAAAAGTAAATAGATCGTGCCGATTTTCCCTCTTTTTGTTTTTTTTCATTTTTGTAAATTCTGAAAGTGACATTTGATATTTTTTACTAATCACACATAGAAAAAAACTCTCTATGGTAGTTGATATATGCGAGTGAAAGCAACTTATAACTAGGTTTTTTCCGCACCAGAATAATATCGGTGACAAATATTTATTTATTTATTTATTCATATTTACTTCGTGTCGTGCAACTTCTACACTTTCAGTTAAAAACCTATCAATTGAGACTATACGCTAACAACATGACGAACACTACGATATCAGAAGATTTCTTAAAACATTTTGTTTGGCTCAATATACAGAATCATCGAATTGAGAGTACATTATTGCGATTGAATCGTCTCTTTAATAACTTAAAAATATTTGACAATATTGATGAATGTTCTCAGCATGTGCAATCAAGTACAAATCAATTTGTGGCAATTATATCTAGTGATGATTGTGATGTCGTTGATAAGATGTCACGTATGGATAATATTGACTCGATCTATCTCCTACGTAAAATAGATGAAAATAAAAATCGAAATAATTCAAAAATTTACGGTATTTACTATAGTGAAAATACGTTATTACGATCACTTGCTAATCGATTTAATACTGATCATATACCAGTATCGACGTTCAATTTAAATAATATTCCAACACAAACGTCTATTCGTAATTTAAACAAGAACAGTGGAAAATTTTTGTGGTATCAATTATTGATCGAAATTATATTACGATTGCCATCGCAAACTGAACATGCTAAAAAGGATATGATTGAAGTATGTCGTCAATATTATGAAACAGATAGAGTACAACTAAAGTATATTGATGAATTCGAGAAATCGTACAATGCTAACTCAGTTATTCAATGGTATACGACAGATACATTTTTTTATCGTTTATTAAATAAAGCATTTCGTAGTCAAAACATCGATATCATATATAAATTTCGTAAATTTATATCTGATCTTCATCATCAAATAACACAAGGTAAACAAGTGAATAACCCTCCTCGTGTTGTTTATCGTGGACAGACTTTATCTCAAACTGAAATAGAACTAATTCAAAATAGTAAGGACGATTTAATATCAATGAACAGTTTTCTTTCAACAACAATCGATCGAAACATAGCATTAATATTTGCTGGTAATACTCAAGAATCTGTTTTATTTGAAATATGGATTGATGACGTTCTTGAAACAGCACCATTTACAACTCTCAAAGATAGTGGTGAAGGTGAAATTCTATTTTCTTTTGGTACTGTGTGTCGTATTTTGTTTGTTGAAAAATCTCTCATTGAAAATGTATGGATAATAAAATTAAAATTATCTTGTGAAGAAAATAATGAATTAAAACGATTGCGTGATCATTACAAAAATGGATTAGATAAAACAACTGATCTATTTGAATTAGGTTTATGTTTATGGAAAATGGGTGATAACGATCGTGCACTAAACTATTACGAACTGATCAATAAAGACTTACCAAACAATCACAAAGCGAAAGGACAACTATTTAATGTAATAGGTATTGCTTATAATGATAAAAATATGTTTGATTTAGCCTTGAAAAATTATGAACTGGCACTTCACTTTTATAATCAAAATGGATATAGTCGTGTGGAGATGTTTCAGATTTATTCTAACATCGGTAGCGTTTGTGACGATATGGGAAAGTATAAAGAAGCATTACAGAACTATCGTTATGCAGAACATCACGATCATCATATACTTGATCCAAGCCAAAAAAGTCTTAAATTAAAAGCTAATATAGCCCATGTCTATACGAAACTAGGACAGTATAAAGAAGCAATATCATCACATGAAAACTTAATAAAGTTACTAGAACAACAACAATTGCCAACGCTTCATCCCACACGCATTATAGTTTATAATAATTTCGGTTATGCTTACAGTCAAGTTGGCGAATCCTCACAAGCAGTTGAATATTATGAAAAAGCAATTAAAATATTAGAACAAATTCATCATCCTGATCATATCCTTCTTGCACGAATATATAATAATTTAGGTGTCGTTTATTTAGATCAGAAATTGTTTTCAAAAGCATTTCAAAATTTTCAAGAAGCACTAAAAATATGTGAAAACCAAAAACTCGATGAACTTGAATTGGCAATGATTTATAATAACATCGGAGAATATTATAACACAAAAGAAGAATATTCTGACGCTTTAAAATATCACGAAACGGTACTTGAAATACGTAAGAGATTACTATCACCTTTAAACAAGAACCATTCATGTATTGCAATAACATTGAACAACATAGGCACGATTTATCTTGCAAACTGTGTTTTCGACAAAGCAATGCAGTACTTTGAACAAGCGCTTGAAATCGAAAGCGCATCGTTGCCTGTGGATCATCCAAGTCTAGCTACAACTTATAGTAACATTGGTCGTGTCTATGAACTATGTCACTCTTCTAAAGCACTTGAGTATTACAGAATGGCTTGTGAGATTGCTGAAACAAAATTGTATCCAAACAATGTGTACCGTAACATATACGAAACTAATTTGAAACGAGCTAATGAGTTAGACCTTGAATGAATCAAAACGAGCGTAACCATTCCTTCATTTGTAATAACTGTGTATGTGCGTATTGATATTTAGATACGTTTTTATGAGAAAATTACATTCAAACACATATCTTAAAGTAAAATATAACTGAACAAAAAAATAAATCATTCCAGAACATGATAATATTTTGATATATGTAATGCTCTATACTACGCAAGATCTACGACGGTTTTTGAAAATATCTGTTTCAAAAACAAACAATAGGTTAATGCTAAAATCAGTCGAATTCATTGGAACAACTTTTGATTTTTGGTCCGATCATAGAAATATATCATTTCTCGTTTAAACTGGTCACTATGTCACAAAAAATCTCACATTATATAAGTTATGTAACCTGCACATGTCTATTGCGTCTGTTTAAGGGGGATGGTCCCCCCACCCGTTTTTTTCCAGCAGTTTGTGGAGGACACTTCGGAGTATATGTCCCAACAAAGCTTTCGGTTCCCGGATTTATAGTTTTTGATTAAAAAATTTTGAAGTTTTTTTCGGGTTTTTTGCCCTATTTTTAAAACTTCAATAAAAACTTCATTTTTTGATATGAAGAGTTGATTCTAGCCTAGGTCCATAGAGAACATGGACAGAACATGAAAACAGAAAAAAATCCAGATGTGGCAAAATCAATTTGCTTTCGGTGAGGGTGAGGGTACAGAATGGCAACAGCAAAATCTCCAGGAGTTACTAGTTCAATTAGTAATTCCAATCCAACTGGAAGAAATAAGGACTCTTAAAAATAAAGTTGCTGAAGTATACAAGTCCCTTTTTTTTTAAATTTATTTTGATTTGTTATTTCTTTTTTTTGTCATTAAGCTTGAACGTCCAGTTGCTGATTATAAAACAAAATTGGATGAATTACGTCGTGCTAAAGCTACAACTGTAGTTAAATTAGAAAAAGAATATGTCAATACAAATGTTCCTGGGTTTGTTTTTATTTTCAATTCCTATTT